TTGTGATCTTTTGACATATTGTTCATCAAAATCGGTCCAGCGAGAGCTGAGATTGAGCGTTCACAGACACAAAAAAAAAAATAAAAAAAAAACACATCATAGTAAAATTAATACCTTCTCAGCTTCGCATCGAAGCTAAAAATTGTAAATATACTTATATTTTTAATTATTAAATAAAAAAACCTCGTGTTGTATTTGTAATTATTTATTTATTTAACTAAATGTTTAATACAATAATGAAAAAATGTTTTATTATAATAAATATTAAAAAAAAAAATTATGGATGCTTTATATAATATCGATTGAATCTATCCATTTATTATGTGAATCATCCAAACCATCAAACTTGACAAAAAACATTTGTCTTTATTCTTCTTAATGATCTTTTCAACTAAATAAACTTCTGGAAACTGAGTCTTGCTAAGTTCGTGCTCATAGAAACAACCATTTATAGGTCTGTTGTTTTCATCTGTCAGCTCGTTCACGACGGGTTTTGTATCACGAATTTTTGCAATTGTAAAGACTTCCGATGTCCAATTTTGTGTGTATCCTTTTGAAAATACTGCTTTATATTTACTCAGACGAACTTTATCTCCTATATTAAACTTTATATTGTATTTTAAAATAGGTAGCCTTTTAAAACTGACATTTCCAGGAATACGTGATGCTATACTAGGAGTTGTTCCTATGGTGCTATGTTTTGTATTATTGTAATTTGTTATTAAATCTGCTATAATGTTTATCCAACTATATGATCTATTGGTAGTAAATTTTTTCCACATTTTTTCTTTTAGTGTTCTATTAAATCGCTCCACAACAGCCGCTTTCATTGTAGAGTAGGTTGAATAATGATTTATATTTTTGTTCTTCATGAGCATCCGAAAATGTTTGTTGAAAAATTCTAAACCTCGGTCTGTTTGCAAGTTTTTTGGAGATCTAATGAACAAAACTTTTTCAAAAGCTGACTTGACTTCTGTACTAGATTTATTTTTTAAAGGCACAGCCCACGCATATTTTGTATAAACATCGATTATCGTTAAAATAAATGTAAAATTTTTATTTTTTGTAGAGTATTTTTTCATATCTACTAAATCTACTTGCCACAAGTCATCTTTGACATACGATACAACTCTTCTTCTAGGAAATATTTTTCTAGCCGGTCTATGTAATTCATTTGCTACTTTCTCTGCTACTTTACTCATGATATTACACCTAGTTCTCGTAACTCTTCTTCTATTGACAGTATTTCGTTTCCCACACCTGTATTTCCAGCACTTCTTGCTGCGTGTAAAAGTTCTAATCGAACTATAAGTTCATTAGGATCGTTCCAATATACGTATTCTTTAGGTCTTTTGTTTAAAATTTTGTAGGTTAACACACCACTACCTGTTTTCGGAGGAAACAAGTTACTAATGATGTATTTATATTTATAACCTACATTACATTTCAATTTTCCATCTCGACCTAAATGGGCATTAGTGTAAAGTAGTAAAATTTTATAATCCGATAAATCCATTTTATTGAATGAACCAACTGCAGGTTTACTTTTAAATAATAATTGATAAAACCCATAACTTAGTGGTCGTAGTGCTAATGTCCCAACTTTAATAGTCGAAAAATCATCGGTTATTTTAACTGTAGTATTGCCCATGATAAAATCATTATCTTTCACATACTTTAAACCGTAAACCGGACCAATTTCTAACAACTACTTTGAAAAATCTTCTCGCTGCATTTCACTGGAAAACGAGCGTTTAGGCTTATCAATATTTGCCGTCTTTATTTCTTCCTGAGATGTAGAAGGTTCATTTTTTATTGAACTTCCATCTTTATTTCCTCTTCCTGATATGTAGAGGGTTCGCTAGAGCTCTGTATCATTTTCTTCGGATGTTAAGGATGTAATTGGATCAGTTTTTCCTATAGGATGGGCTTTTCCCAAATGACGAAACATTGACTTTCTATGCTTTGCTTTTCTTCCATTTCAACACAATTTTGATTAGNGACTTTCTATGCTTTTGCTTTTCTTCCATTTCAACACGATTTTGATTAGCTATTTCTTGAAGAGGTGTCACCAGCGGTGACATATGTGTACGTACAAAATTTTCCGATTTCTCAACATTTCTATGAATTAACTGTATTTTATTTTTTATGTTTTGTTTAGAGCGTATGATTTCTTTCAACACTTTATCCGACATCTTGATATTAACTAAACATATAGCAGTATGAGTCGTCTTTTTATACTCGCGTCATTTTTATGAATATATCAAGCCCACATCGATATCGACCATTGTTGAGGTCATCATCTTTCACTATAGTAATGAAACTATATCGTCCTTTATTCCAACATTGTGAACACATTGCTTTGAATTCATTAAAACTCATATCACTGGAACAATGATCTTCATAAACGTGTTTGAGATTTGTTTCATCTTGTTTGTACAGTATAATCATATTAGTGTTATCTCTTATCAGTTGTTTTGGAATTCTAGAATACGTCTGTGTTAGGTAAAAACTATCAACACCATTGTGTCGCCCACGGCAAAAATAAGATGTCATATGAATTTGTTTTTCATAAATATCATCATCGAATACAAACACGGAGTTTGCTTCTAGTTTTTCGGGTGAAGGCACGTCTTCACTGCTGGTGAACATAGATAATTTTACCACATTATCCATAATCTCACCTAATAATTTATATTTGTGCTGATGGGGGGTTTTCGTGTAAACGTATAGGTGCTCGAACCGCAAACTATTTTCCTCCGTTAATAATTTAAACATAACATTTGTTTTACCACAATTTGATGGTCCACATATTATGCATCTTATTGTGTTGGGTAACAGTGGTCCATGTTTAGACTCGATGGGGTCTGTAAGATCCACGACATTATCGACTGATAGAGTATGTTTCTGTTTCTCAAAAAACATTATTAGCGCACGTTATTACTCGTCAAACAAATGAGTATAAATGATGAAAAATTCAAAAAACCTTTACAGTTATAAATTGAAAATGGTGCGAACAAGACGAGCGACGAAGCGAATACGCGGTATTGTTAATTCAATAATTAATCGATTGCCCATTGAAATGCATGTTCCAGGGTATCAGTATTGCGGACCAGGCACAAAACTTAATAAAAGACTAGCACGTGGTGATCCTGGAATAAATAAACTCGATGCAGCGTGTCGTGAACATGATATTGCGTACGCAAGAACAAATGATTTATCGGAACGGCATTTGGTTGATTACGAGTTGCAAATACGTGCTTGGGACCGCGTAAAAGCGAACGATAGTTCATTTGGAGAAAATACTGTTGCGTATGCTGTTACAAATACCATGAAAGCTAAAAGAAAAAAAAATTGGAATAGGCTTTGGTGGTGTACTCCGAGTTGGACGTAAAGCTGTGCGTAATTCAAAAAATATTAACAGTGCTGCAAACTTGGCATTAGCGACAGAGGTGAGCCTGTTACCATACGTCTACATATACGCAATGGCTCTTCGATTCAATAAAACCAAGAGTAATATTAAAAAACCGATCATTAAACAACGACTAGTTGAAGAGATACGACGTGAAAACCTTGACATTCTTTCGGCTTTGGGATATACAATTAACAATGGACGATATTTTAGAAGTAATGGAAACACCGTACAATGAAGACCGCATAGTGAAATGGGATTATTTTTCCTATCAACCGTTTTCGGTTAGCACACTATCGAATAATGATGAGATACGAATATGTATTCAACAGCAAGATGTTTAGACCCTTCCATGTGATTCCTATCTTTTGATAGATGGAGAACTTTTGGGAGTTTCTGCCGGTTCAGATGTACAATTGGTTAACAATTGCCTAACTCACTGCTTCACTGAAATAAGATATTTATTGATCTCAATAGAAATAGATAGATCGCGTATGCCTGGGATAATGTCTATAATAAAAGGATACGTCACGTTTTCACCTAATGATCATACAAGGTTTGAAAATGCTGGCTGGAATGTTGTAACTGCAAATACGAGTATGAAATTTGAAGTATGCATACTTCCAAGGTTATTATTAGGATTTGCCGAGGATCATAAAAAAGTCATCGTTAATTGTCGTCAAGACTTAATATTGCAACGGAGTGGTACAGATTTAAACTGTATTTACTCGACAAATGAAAATTTATCAAGTTGTAAAATTATTTTGAACAAAGTTATATGGAAAGTTCCACATGTAAGTGTGTCGGATGCCATGCGGTTAGACATGCTTAAAATCCTGGAAACCTCAACACCGCTTCAAATAGCATTTCGAAGTTGGGATCTATATGAAAATCCCGGCCTACCAAATAGTAAAAGACAAGCCTGGACTGTGAAAACTTCATTGCAGACTGAGAGCCCTAGAGCACCATTGCATTAGGTTAGTTTAGGTTGGATTTAATCCCCCCGTACACTTCCTCCACCCCTTGGAAGGTGAGTGGGTGAGACGGGGGGCCCAGCTCTCTCCATTTTACCCAACTATTATTATTATAATTATAATTAAAAATAAACTAATTCGTTAGTTTAAATCAAACACGGTATTACGTAATTAATAATTACGTAAGTCCTTAGAGTCATTAATAATAATAATAATAATAATAATGCAATCGATGACAATTTGTTTAAATACAATTAAGAGTTTTTAAATATTAATTTAAATATTCTAAATAAATCTAAAATTGAAGTGCTTGATACAACAATTAGTTATGTTTAAGTTTTTCAAAATTTAAATGTTTGTTAATTTTGATTTTTCAGCCCAAATAAGTACAAAATCTATTATTATTTGTTATTATTTGAGAATATATTTAATTTAAAAAAAAAATTTAGCATTATTTTTAATAAAATAATATTCATAAAATTATTTCTTCCAAAAAAATATAAAAAAGACTTTTCTAGTTGATGCAAAAACCGAACTGTACATACAAAACTTAATGTATTCTGACATAAGATTTTTGAAGTTTTTATAATACTGTCAAATAAAATAAAACTAACTTGATAATCAAACTTTTTATGTATTAATTTTAAGATTTAATTGTTAAATTTAACACAAAGTAAACTTAATACATAATAAAACAAAATGATTCAAAAACATTTTTATTTACTCCAATTGGCTTATTACGAAATTGTTTTTTTTACCAAGAGTGATATTATTGAATATGACACACGCAACGCCTAAAATAAATTATTATTGTATATTTATTATAACAACCAAGTCATAAACTTTATATGAAATATTTTATAGTGGATTATGATAACACATCACGATTTTAAAACTTTGTCAAAAAAAAAAAAAACTTACCGAGCCAAATACTTCTAGATTTAATGATTTTCGGGGAGTTATATTCATCTTTAATCTGTTCGTGTTATTTAAACTCATAGCCAACAAAAGCTTTTGTTTAAATTTTATACTTTTCTCAGTCCAATCAATGCAATACAAAGCAAACTGTATTCCAATTATCTGATAAAATCGTATAAATATAAATAGAAGTCACTTAAATTTATGGAAAACTCATTACTTGGAGTTTCAATAGCATTAGGTACTATAAACTAAATTTTCACATAGCATTTTATAACAAAAAAACATCTTATTTTTAATGATTTAAATTCAAATGGAATAAGTGAATGTTTTTTTTTGGAACATGAACATTTTGAGACAATAAATAGCTTTACACTCCATTTATCTAAATGGTAATCAGCTGGTTTTTGAAAATTAATGCATTTAAGTGTATCTCATCTAAACATATAATTACCAACTCCAAAAACTCTTTATAGTCATCTCTTGTGTGATTTACATTTATAATTTTTGTACAAAATAATAAAATATCATCTGCTGCACTTTAACCGACTCAATTACTTGTAGAATAAATATAATTTAAACATTTTTTTTTTTTTGGTTATTTTTAGTTATACATTATTCTTGAATTATTAACTATGTAATACTTTTTAAGTNTATCTTTAGTTACACATTATTCTTGAATTATTAACTATGTAATACTTTTTAAGTTCATCCCTTATGCCTGGTAAGGGTGTCAACTTTGTTTTTTTAAATGGTAACACATATTTTTAATTTAATAAAATGTTTGAGTTTTTAATTCAATAGTAAATGACATTTGAATTATTAGTATAACTTTATTAGTTTATTAAATGTAAACATTTAAAGTTTCAAATTTTTGAGTTAATATACATGTATAATACACAAGGGATTATAAATACAAATAGCTAATTGGATTTTTATGGCATTGCTGTTTTAGTCACGGATTGTTTATTATCAATTATGATTATTAATAGATATACTTTCTGTATTGTCAGTTAGTGTATTTATAAACTCACAACAATGTACCTTACTATCATTGATAATAACAATGCTGTGTACCTGCTAATATCGATGTCATAAAAAATCAATTAGCTACCTGTATTTGTAATCCCTTGTGTATTATACCTATATATTAACTCAAAAATTTGAAACTTTAAATGTTTATATCTAATAAACAAATTAAGTTTCATTAAAAATTCAAATGTCATTTACTATTGAATTAAAAACTCAAACATTTTATTAAATTAAAAATATGTGTTACCATTTAAAAAAACAAAGTTGACACCCTTACCAGGCATAAGGGATGAACTTAAAAAGTATTACATAGTTAATAATTCAAGAATAATGTGTAACTTAATATAACAAAAAAAAAAATTGTTTAAATTATTATTACTGTGTAAGTAATTGAGTGGGTTATGATAAACAAGTCACTCTGTATACTTTAACGAATAGCATATATTTTAATTGTGTAAAAAATGTTAATACATATTTGAAAAGAATTTAATAAAATATTGTTTATAACATTTAATAACGTGATTAATTGAGTACTGAAAATAAATTTAAGAAAAAATTTAATTAAAATATGCTGTTTACTCTCAAAACTATTAAATTCACTTAAATTTTTGACTTCAATGAATAAAAAATTATATTGAGTTGGTAGTTTTATAAAAATAGAACAATATTAATAGAAAAATATATTATTTTATTGATTTTTGATCTAAAAAATTCTAAAAAAATGCAATTATTTAGTAGTTATTTATAATAAACTGTATCAACAAAACATTTAATTGTAGCTACAGAGAATAATATTTAGTTATATATTATTAAAACTTAATATTGTAATTTATTTTGAATTGAAACTTCATTTGTTTATTAGCCTATTTTCAATTATTGTTTCTTACTTTTATAGTTTTATTTTATAATTCGTATATTTCTTATGAGAACTTATTTTTATAATTATTTTAAAACTACTTAAATTAGTATTTATATCAAATTTAGGTCAATATTTACTTGATTTTCAAGATAACTATAATAATAGCACATAATAAACAAATCGATAGAGACCGCTAATGTTGCTATTAACAATCTCGCAAAATTGACTGACAATTCACAATCATTTTTAAAGTAATTCTACAAAGAAAATTCTTATAAAATTATGAAAATTACTTAATCTCTAAATTTAAAATATACTTACCATAATACACATATATGTGAGGGCATTAAAAAGATTGAAATAGTATACATATGTGAACCACGTCATTGGTTTCATGATTTCATAAAATTTTCTAATTGAACTAAAAATAATAATTTAAAATATGACACTAATTTGTAATTGGATTATCATTTATTACCATGTAATAAATAGCATTTTAATATGCTTTAGAAAACATCCTAATAAAAAATTAATAAATTCCTTTTTGTGAATTTAAAATTGTACAAAATGTGGAAAATTATCATTACGTTATGATAAGAATGAATGTATTATTTTAATAATTTATAAAATATGTGATAATTATAAAAAAAATTTATATAATTTAATCACCATGTTAAAATAACTTAAAGAGCTATTACTCAACTTACACGTTTAACTTAGTATAATCCAGTAATATTTGATTCAAATATTTCATATAATTAGAGTTCTTTCTCTGTCCTATTTGAGAAATAAGTAATTAATTAAAAACATTACTAGCAATAAAAAAATAGGTTTTCTTTCTAAGTTATCAAAAAATATTGATAAAAAAAAATTAATCATAATCATTTTACACGCACTTAATTCAAGTATTTCGTTTCCTAATGATTCGCATTTAAATGCCATTACTTTCAATTGAGCTGATAACATCCAACAAAATTGTACAACTATTGTATAGTAAAAAACTATATCAAAAATTATATGTATTAACTCAATAGCTTCTAATAGATATACAATTGGGAAAATTTGCTCATATATAGAAATTGGTATAAAACTTAAGAAAGAATTTAGGACATTATTTTGATAAATTACCAGACTGCCGTCTCTTCTTATTAAAGAAAATTCTTTTACACACAACGGAGAAAAAATCCAAACTATCCCAACCAAAAAATAAATAAAAAAAAAGAAATTTATTATTTTAGTACACATGGATTTGTTGTGATCAAATATATATTTTTCTTTATCACTTAAAGGTATAAAATCGCTACTCGTTGCATTAAATAATTTTCTTAATTCACCATAATTTTTCGAAAGTCTGTAGTTGTTTAGGTATATTTGGATACCGGATATTACATTTATAAATAATTGTATAATTGCAAAAAAATCGTTTTTCACATAGTAAAAACCAATAAACACATAGCAATTGATTATGACAAATTCCACTAATAAAAATACACCACAGAAGAATTGGTAAAATTTCATATTAGAAATTTTAGCAAGATTGAATGGATTCAGTTCACAATGCAGATTTAGAATCATTAACATTCGATCGTTTAGAGTAATTTTCTCTCGAAGTTTGTTTTGCATTTTACTTTGGAATATTGTTGTTTTTCCCTTTAGTAACTAATGGTATCTAAAAAAAATGTATATAATTATTATTATGTGTTATCTTTTTTTTTTCTTGTTATTCTATTTTTCCTTAGCTAATCAAGTAATTGGTATACATTAAAATTAATTTAGTCTGTTTTGAGAATATGAATTAGATGTGAAACATATCCATTGAATTTGACAGTACTGCATCGGTATTCAATAAATAAGATAAAAAGTTTTCACTGCTTTGATTTTTGGTAATTATTGACTTGTTTTCTTAGTTTTTGAACATATATTCTGAGTGATTAATTTATAATAAACTATGAAATTAATCGAAAATAGAAATTATTGAAATTTAATTATTATTTATTTTATTTTATGGTTTTTGTTAGGTACTAGTTAATCTCAATTTATCAACCATGAAGAATAATTTGTTAGCAACACACATAACTGACTAAATTATTTAATATATAATTATCTAATTAAGAAAATGGCTGGTCAATAACAACTTTTGGATGAATTTTTCAAAAGTTATTGACATATCTATACTTAAGACGAGTGCAGTAGAGAAATGACAAGTGAAAAAAATAACTACACTCACATCTCACCTTAAACCTTCACTATAACATGTTGACAATTCCAAAATATTAGTCCAAAAATTGTTATTGACAAGTCATTATCATAATTACATCATTATCTAAGAAATAAACTAGCTAATTACGTATACTGCTTTTTGAAAAAATATTTGACACGCTTATTAAGGGAAGAACAGAAAATAATTCATGACTGATAAATTAAGAAAAACAAAAATCTAAAAGAAATCAATAAATGAAATCGTGAAATATTTTTATTTTTCGATTAATTAAATTCTTCATTGTTGATAACAAGAAATTGTTTGTATAAGGGAGAATTTTAATAAATAGGTTTAATCGCCCTTTTTTCTATTATTGAAACAAATATAGTTAATATAAATAATTAATTGAATATCAAAAGAGTATATAGATTGATAAATTTTACCCAGATAAAATAATAACAAAAATTTAATAATGAATTCTTTTTTTTATTTCAGTAAACTGATGCCACAAATAAACTTATATTAACCAAATAAAATATATACTACTTAATCTACTTCTACGACAATAGTATAAATATTAACAAAGGGTTCTAAACATACAAATTTGTTCAACCCAAGCCCCATTCTTAGATACATAGCTATATATTTACACAAATATATATATATAATTAAAACAAACTCAGCGACGAGCCACTATTACTGCCATGCCTTAAAACATAGGTTGGTCTATTAATAAAGTCACTGGCTTAATTATGGGGCTAATATGGGTATCATATGACACTCATATCATAAAAAAAATAATTGTATGGCGAAGATACAACTCTGATAAAATAATAATTAACGTTATTTATTAATACCACGGTTTTTTTTTCAAAATAAGTTGAAACTCATATATGTGAATTTATCGATGTATATTGTTATGATTTTATATAAACCCAAACCAATTTAAATTATATTTTTTAAATTTAATACAAATTAATTCATGAAACACGAAAGTCATATCCAAATTTCAGCTTCGATGCAAAGCTGAGAAGGTATTGGTTTTACTATGATGTATTTTTTTTTTTTTGTCTGTTACCACTTTTTCTCAGCTCTCACCGAATCGATTACTTTCAACGTTACGTAAAAAGATCACAAATCGTATCTAGTCAAAGACATTACCCTCAAAAATTGAAAAATTTCTCTTGTTCCCCGTAAATGGGGGAAATCTCAAAAAAAATTACAAATTTAAAAATTGCTAATTTTCGACATTTTTTCAATTTTTTTTACTCATAACTGCTATAACTTTCTTAAAAATAAACAAATCAACATAACTTTTTTTTTATAGATGCTTAATGTCTTAACCTATCATTTTGTATATTTTTTTTTATAAATTTGACCCTTAATATGCCCACCTGGGGGGATTTAAAATGACAACTTTTTCACATAAAATTAAGTTTTTAACTTAATTTTTGAAAGTATTACGGAAAGTCTGACACTTTTATATATATCTTAAATTAAAGCTAATGTAATATACTTTTTTATGAAAAAAAAAAAAATGTTGGACTTTATTTCTTCTTCAGGGTATAAATGGCAACCGAATGCCATTTTTGTGTGTAAATACTCGATTTTATATTTTACATTTGTTACTTTAAAGTGCTATAACTTTTTAAAAAATGTATGGATCAATACAATTTTTTCATGAGAAGTAGTATTTATATACATCTTTCATTCGATATACTGTTTTTTTAAATCGAACCATTTCCCTATATACGAGGGCAGTTCAAATCTAAAAAATGCATGTAGAAAGTAGAACTTTTTCAACTTAAATTTTGAAAGTGTTCCGAAAAGTCTGACACTTTTATATATATCTTAAAATAAAGCTAATGTAATGTACTTAATTATGAAAAAAAAAGAATTTCGTACTTTATTTTGTCTTCAGGGTGAAATTGGCTACCGAATGCTATTTTTGTGTGAAAATTCTCAATTTTATTTTTAACTTTATAACGCTATAACTTATTGAAAAGTGTATGGATCAACATATTTTATGAGAAATAATATTTTTAATATTAATAAAGAAACAGCAGATCATGTTGCTTTTGGAATAATCCAACAATTTTTTAAAATCTAAACATTTGCATCTGTAAGAACATTTATTACTATGTTCTTACCACTTATATTACACACGTTTTAATTATATTTATTTAATTCGTAATACATATTAATTAGCATAGAGGGAGATGCTGATGTGACAATTCTACTCGTCTGTAGTCCGGAGCTACTGACGTCAAACTAACAAAGGGCAGTTGTGTTTGAGTGGCCGTTATAGACATAATTTTCAATATTATTACTTTCGTCTTATTTATATTATTTATAACTTTACTTGTTTTATTCAACGACCCGTCTATCGCCAATTGTCATCATAGCCAACCAACTCCGTCTCACTTGGATATACCTACTAACCAACTGTACTAGGATTCAGGTCAGACGTATTGTACATTACATATAACTTATATTTACTGAACATCTAAATATAACCTTAATTTGTCAGTAGCTCCGGACTACAGACGAGTAGAATTGTCACATCAGCATCTCCCTCTATGCTAATTAATATGTATTACGAATTAAATAAATATAATTAAAACGTGTGTAATATAAGTGGTAAGAACATAGTAATAAATGTTCTTACACATCGAAGCGTTTTTTTCTTTATAGTGATTTTAATCACTGTCAAATATCATAATACTTGATCCAACTATGCCACGTCACCACTGTGCCGCGACCCCCCTGTGCTGGTTTTTTTTATTAACTTTGATGTCTGTTTTCACCATGAAGACAAAATAAAGTCCGAAATTTTTTTTTTTTCATAATAAAGTACATTATACTAGATTTAATTTAAGGTATATATAACAGTGTTCGTATTTCCAGACCACTTACTAGAGTTAAGTGAAAAAGTTATTTTTTTTCAACAAAAGAATTCGGTCACCAAACTCCGGAAAAATTATAGGCGAAGGTCGGAAAATTTTTGTCATTCGCCCGCGAGCGTTTTAAAATTTCGATCGTTTTCAAGAAAAACGCTCGCTGACGCCAGCGTTTTACAACTTAAAGTTTGAAATTTTCAACAGACCCGCCCAATGACATTTCTGAGATATGACAAAAAAAATCAATTCAATCCGTTCAATTTTCATTGTTTTACGAGCATTTTTTTTTTCCTGCGCTCGAGACGCCAGGGCGCGCCGCCTGAAATTCTTGCGACACTGTACCATATGAAAACGATTTTTTTTACTATTCGCAATCATACCACGGCGTTCTGTACGTGCCGAGGAAGCGCCAAAAATCGGAAAATCCGAGATCCGACCAAAACTCTGGTCGCTACGAGCGTTTGAAATTCATCAAATTTTTACGGAAAATTACGATTTTTCTGTATGCTAATAATACATATGTACACGTCTTATTATATCTTATTATATAATAGAACAAGGAAAGAAACGCGAAGGCGCGTAAGGCTGTAGGGCCCCGGGTCTGGGGCGGAGCCCCATCTAGGCGGAGCCTAGTAATTGTATATTTCAGAAAAATTATTTGAAACTTTTAGTTTTTAAAAAAATTGAGTGCAACATATATTTTTTCGACGGGACGTGGCTTGAGCAGCAACATTTGATTCTTTATGTTTCGTCTTCTCTTAGTGACGATATTAGAACACTATTAAAATAATTTATTATATAACATTAATTAATATTGTTACGTCGCTATTTAGGGGTTGAGCCTAAATGCCCGTCGACAGTATTCTAAGGGACCAACGGGGGATAGCTGGCTAGGCTATATCTACCTTAGGTACTGAAGTTTCCTATTTAATTTATATTCCCTTAGAGGAACTACCAAGGGTCGCACTAATATATATATATATAACACTTTAGGTTAACAACGATATAAATAAATATTTATTAAGCAATTGAAATATTAAATAGATGATACAACCTGCTGGACACCTAGAGATAATATAATCCAACAGGGAGCTGACGGCGACACACACACTCTCTATATACGGGGTCGAAAGGTTAAGTTAATTATCAGACAAAAGTAGTGATCGCAAAGATGGTAAAATGTCAACTGTCGATAGGGATATCTTATTATGGCACATTGGCC